GCTGTATAATTAAGGGGAAATATAATGTCAAATGGCTTAGCAAGATCCTTCGTTATGCCGAAAATATTGCAGCATTAATTTTGAAATAAATATATGGTAAAGTTGAGGATTAATGTTAATGATTATGTTAGACGAAAACACAATTTCGTAAAATTTTCTCGATAGAAAAAAAATCCAAAGTTACCTCCAAAATAAACAATAAACCGCTGTTATTCATAAAATACTTTAAATAAGATCATGAAACTTTGCATACTAACTGAACTAACTATAAAGCAGTGCTTATGTTATTTACTTTTTTTAAAATACCATTATTTTCACTGTAAAAAGAAATTACCTAAACTATCGGCGTCTTGAGCTTGATTCCTGTCGCCCGTCCCGTTAATATCGCTTAGGCCATAGAGGATAGTAATATGGCTTAGGCTTTTGAAAGGGAGAAGTTGTGTCGCATACGATCAGAATATACATTACGCAACAGTACGACGTAAAATTAAAATGGGAAATAACCGTGATAAAAATAAGAAGCGGCTGGCTTGGCGTTAAGAAACAGGCATAAATATGATAAACCTAATGAAATAAGTGTCTAACGACGTTTCTACTTACAGTATTAGTGATTACAAACATATCGGTACATAGCATACGACGCGCGGGGAAGTGGGGGCGAAATTAGAATTTGAGCTGACTTACTCTATCCTCTTAATGAACCAATTCAAAATATTTTTTAATATTAACATAACATTATGTCTCATTTAAAAGCGTGTACCAATTGTAGGGTGCGACTAGAAGTCCATTTGGGTGTGGATTAATAAACATCTTTTCTTATATCGCAAACCACTTGTGTTGTTTTGTACTCTTAGAGACGCTTTAGTCGCCTCTTGTGATACACACGGACTAGGAGTAACAATGTCCTGGGATCAGTGCACGGAACGAAATAGATTGATGGGTTAATGGATTCAGTTTCGCCACACGGTTTAAAAAATGCTGTGTTCTCGAATCTCGAGTAGCCTGGTATCGGTAAACGAAGTGTAAGACGGCCCCCAACAGCCTAGACGTGGCCTATGTTCCGCAGTGGACTTGTGAAGAGCTGTAATGATGATGACGTGTAGATGATGTACAACGATTGTAATTAGATAGGTACTTCTACGAACAGAAATTTTAATGAAGTAGTTCTATATTCTTTAGTGTATTCCTTTGTTCTTACAAGGTATTCAAGTCACCTAAAAAGTGATGTAATAAATAACAAGAAATTAAACAATAATAATATACAAATAAAAGGCATGCTTCCTGTTATGTAGAAAAAAATACGTGTGGCACTCGGTGACTGTCGCGGTAAAGCTATTGCATAGCATTTTTTATCAACTTATGCAATTATAATTATTTATTTATTTTATTTATGCAGTTAAGTCTTTGATATTAAATCAAGTTACACTTTTTGAGCGTGGTGACCGATAAGAAAACAATTTTTTTTCTCTTATTGAATAAATGAGAAGTTAATATTGTTTAAAATATTTTTAATATCTTACAATACATGTAGGTTATTCAGGAATTTTTGTCATTGAGTTAGCAGCTAGTGTACACGCATACGTCTAGTCGCACGCACACAAACACCGTGCCGAAGTCTGCCGAGTGCCGAAGTCTGCCGAACTGAAACGACGTTAGACGATGCACGGCTTTCAACGCCACACCTCCGTGCCCGTCGGAGTGGGGAGCGTGAAGTTTTTTTTCGTTACGGAATTTCTGGATTCGGTCCCCGCGCTCAAGGCCCGCGATAGAAGCTATGCAATAGCTTAAAATTAACGAGGAAAGAGTCCTAAATCATATTTGTGACGTGAGATGTGGATGGCAGAGTCGGGAACTCTAGACGAAGGTTTATCGGTACAAATTGGCGATATATTGAAAATGGGCCAGATTAGGAGTACTTACTTAACCGACGGGCGTGCATGCGTAGATGTTATTATGTTTCCTGTCATCCTTTAATGCTGCTATCTTTAGAAAGTGTTCCCGAGTTAGATTTCAAGTTATATAAAATAGGTTTTTCGGAGTAGTTAGATAGTAGTTATTATCTGTTTGGGGAATTTCTGCTCACCTCCCAGCTACCGGACACTAACTGCCGTGTTCCAGCATAGATTAGAGTTATTGTCATCATTATAATTACATTCCCCCACAAGTCGACCGGTGGACATAGGTCTTCCGTAAGGAATACTACAAACCGCGTTCCCGAGCCCCCTGCATCCATTGAGTACCCGCTAAGTTTTTTTTTTCTATAGGATAAGGTGACAAACGAGCACACAGTCCACCTTATGATAAGTGATTGCTGTGGCCCATAGACATCTACATCTATCTTCGATCACGAATCAAAATGTAGATGCGTTGTCACCCGTGACGGCTAAGATGGAATGCCTCGTTTCCAGTAAAAAGGGTCTCCGGTTCTCTACACTCAACATAAGAAACACAACAGCATTAAACTACTATTTGACGCCGGTATTCTGTGAGAGCGTGGTCCTTCCCCGGTCGAGCCGACCCATTCGTGCTACAACTATACTACTAATATAACTGCAGCATGGCTCTACCACGTACAAAAAAGTATCATTTTAAAATGTTTAATAGTTATATTGTTAATACTGCTGTGTTGCTTATTTCAATTTTGGTACCTTTTTCTATCTTCAAAAACATTTCTCTTTTTGGCTTGAATAGGAGAAAAAAATATTTTTTTTGATAAATAAAAATGGGAGTTACAAAATAATTATTAAAAAAAACGACGGGTTGCACTCCGGGAGTGCCGTCAGAAGTAAAAACTTGAATATTAACGTTGTGCATTTTTGATATTTTGGAATGGTTAGGGAATAATTTTGCACGAATTGTTTTAATTATCAGTATAAAAGTACTATCATTTATGTGGTAGAATACAATATTTATTTATTGCGCTATCGTACACAAACATGACAATTTATATTACATTAATACGTTAAAAAGGTTATCTCTCAGAAAAATCAACTTCCATCCATAATTTCGACGACGTCTTACGAATTTTCGATCAGGTCACGTGTCCTGACGCGAGCTTAACATTTTTTACCCATTACAAAAAAAAGTGTACAACGCCGCTAAAGAAGTTTTCACTTCAAAAAACCTCTAGAATGTATATTATATCTTCTGACAAATTTGTTTTTGGAAGTTTTATCATTTCAAATTTTTTATAGAATAAGAGTGAGAAGCGTGCACACGGCTGAGGGTAAGTGGATGCTGTGGCCCATAGACGTCTACATCAATCATCAAAATGCAGATACATTGTCACCCCTAAGGACTAAGATAGAACGCCCCATATCCACTAAAAAGGGTACCTCGTTCTCTACACTCACTAGCTGCTGATACCTATTCTGTGAGAGCGTGGTCCTTACCCGGTCGAGCTGACCCATTAGCGCTACAACCATAATATAGCTGTAGCGTGGCTCTACCACGTATGAGTAATTTAAATGTATAACTACCAAATAAGTATTCCATCAAGATGCTGGAAATTGCAAGTATTAATAGTCGTATCATCTGACAATCATTATATCTAGCATAACAAGAAAATTATAATAACTAGAAGTTTTTTTATCTATTGTGAAAAGTCAGAATGTGTCAAAAAAGGCACGTATGGCAATTCACAGTGCTGTATTAGTCCCTACTTTAACGTATGGTAGTGAAAGTTGGGTGTGGCAGAAGAAGCACGAGAGTAGTATAAATGCAGTAGAAATGCGGTCGCTAAGGAGTATGTTAGGGCTGAATCTGAGTGACAGGGTGAGAAACTGTGTGATAAAAGAAGAGTGTGGTTTGCAAGATGATGCGGTGACCAGGATTAAGAAAGGAATGCTTCGGTGGTTTGGTCATGTAGAAAGAATGAATGCGGAAAGACTGACAAAGCAAATATATGTTGCAGAAGTGAATGGAAGAGTCGGAAAGGGACGTCCTAGGCGGAAGTTTGTCGACCAAATTGGCGATATACTAAAAATGGGCCAAATTATGAGTACCCTTAAACCGACGAGCATGTATGCGTAGGTATATGGATGTGGAAGAGGCGAGAAAGGTATGTCAGGATCGTGCTAAATGGAAGTCTGTAGTCTCTGCCTACCCCTCTGGGTGACAGGCGTGAGTGTTTATGTATGTTTATGTTATGTTTTTTTTTAAATTGTTTTATTTACATATCATCATCATAATCATTGAAATGTTGCGTTTTGAGCAAGTTTTTAGGTTTCGTGTGATTTATATTCTCAAAATAACGCCTCAGTGTTGTGTTCTTTAATTTTTTACACATTTTTTAATTTTATTTTTATAAATATGCCTAGTTTGGATTATCTACACTTATACACTGTATACAAACATCATCCAAATTAACTTACTCGACATGAAATCTGTCAAATATTACAACTAATTCTAAGATGGCGCCGCGCCGCCCTGGTCGCAGATAAAGTCGTGGATGCCTTCAATGCTGAATCACAGAGTACATAGTGTGTTGAATAAAGGCATCTCAGCTTTCTCAATAGTTTGTTGGCTGCCACAATCCACAAATGATGGTCCTGAGCTCTTGAGCCCCATGAATGCACGAGTATATAATATAGATATACAGACTATATTAACATCTCTTTTTCTTTTAGATTTCAATATGTACAATAAAACAACATATCGATTCATAATATTTTAATACAAAATTTCATAAAAAAACATCTTTAAAATCAATAATAAATGTCTCGTCCTTTGGTAGATAATATTTAATTTTAAAATCAAATTTAAAACCAATTTATCTAAATTATTCAACTCGGTAAAATATAAATAATAAATAAAATAGCGTATAATGGCGTACAAAACTTACTAACGAAATACAATAATGGACGCGATATAGTAAATTATAAAAATTAAATTCTAAAACATAAAAGCATAGTATTCGAGAATTAAATAGGCACGTTAACGCTAGGAGAGGTTACAATTATGGCACAGAGAAACTATCGGGAGCGTGGCGCGAGCGCTCATTATTCTTTGGGCTTCTTTTCCTTCTTGCGCGGCGGCGGAACGGGCGCATCGCCGCTCGTAGCGCTGTCCTTCTTGAGCACCTTTTTCACGACTTTCTTCTTGGGCGCTTCGACCGACGCCTTAGGATCAGTCGTCGTCGGGGACGCCGGCATCGGCTTATCCGAAATAGAAGATTCTATTTGGGCCGCAATAGTTGATTTCTCTTTTGCAGATTTGACCCCGATCTGGGACAGCGACACTGAGCCTATAGGCGGTGTCTGCACTTTGGGTTCTTCGACGGAGAGCCGTTTCTCTTGTTTAGGTTGCGCAGGTGAGGCTGGGGTTTGAGGCGATGGTGATTTTACAGTGGGCGTGCGCAGTTCGCTGGCTATAATGGACTGCGCGAGTGTGGCCGCGTCTTCTAGCTCGCTATCGGGGGTGGGGAGGGGGTCGGCGGTGACGGGGGGGCTGAGGTGCAGCTTCCCCACTGGTCTGCGGCGCTCCTCCGCTACACAACCAATTTATTCCCGCCTTATTCTCTCGATTTGATTAGACTTGGAGTTAGTATCGCGGTCACATTAGAGAGCAAGCTCGGTTAGGGCCTGGAACAAAGTCGAGGGAAAACAGAGCTACATGGTTAACTTGAAACAATGCGAGCGGAAAGTTAGAATAGTATCAGTTAACAGACATCTGAAGCTTGATAACATTACAAGGACATTACAGCGTAATATGTTTGTGTAATTTTTATGTTTAATTAAATTAAATAATTAATAAATTAATTAATTTTGAATCTATATCGAAAATATGTATTAGGCATGTACCTATTATAGTTAAATTAAATTAACTAATATTAGCAGTGTAAAATGAAAATGCACGGTGAAAGAAAAGCATAGTCTAAAATGTAGGCAATAATACTCCTTGCAATGTTGTGTGAAAAATCATGAAAAGCAAACAATAAAAGATTCGAGTTCATGGCAGTTTTACTACCGAAACTGTAAGAACCTCTGTGACTTAGTAAATAAATGCAGTGATCTCTGCTCCGATAACTGTGCATTGGATATATATGCTATGGAATAACAAACTACCAACGTTTTATAAAAAGAGCATGGATAACTGCGGGGTGAAATATCGTTGATCAATTATGTGGATTAGTTCTTAATACTTCACACAAGTTACATCATTTGCCATAGTTGATCAAACGTTCCTACATATTACAACCACTTGGACGCAACCCAAATAGTACAAAATCACATAAATATTTATTTATCAAGGGCATTGGATTAAATCTAACTTCTAAATAACGATAGATGTATGAAAATATACAATAAAGACGATGCGATTCAGACTAACGAACATAATAATTTAACGAAGAATTCAGTCAGAGGTGTTGAGTCCAAGTGAAATATTGTTATTACCTTTTCTATCAAAGCCGCGTCTCTTGCGCTGCCTCCTCGGTAGCTGGGTGAAATAACAACGTACTTTGAAAGGTATGATCAGTAAATTAACATAAAAACCAAACACAAAACGGCACAAATAAAAATAAAACATGTGTACACATCTCGCTCTACGAGTTTGATTAGTTAAAGTTCGGAGGTCCGCAATCTTTTCTTTGCAGAGCAAGCGATAATCTATGAAATATTAGTACAAGTCTGACAGAAAAAAAAAACTGCAAAATGAATTCGGTGAGAACTGAATGCAAAGCCGTTCAAAAATCGGCGGGCGAGATTAAGTTGTTTAATTTTTACTTACATTTAGCAGCAGGCTCTGTGGGCAATTCTTCTTTAGAGGGCGTGTTTGCTAACGGGGGGCTATCTGTAGCACTAGTCACAGGTATATCTTCTGGCTGAGACGGTTCGTCGTCAGTTTTAGTTGACTCTGCAACTGCTGGACTTGGTGGAGCTTGAGCGGCTACAGCGGGTAATTTCGGATCTGCTGCAGAAGAAACAACCTGAACAGATTCAGCAAGTACAGATTTAGGATCTTGTTTAAGCACTTCAGGTTCTGGTGGTTTAACGCTCTTGTCAGATTTCTCTTTTGGGGGCTCCACGGTCTTCTCCGATGCAGGTACAACGGGTGTAGTCTCGGACTTAGTTTCTTTAAGACTTTCAACGTCACTGAATGCTTCTATCACTGGCTTAGGTATTTCACTTGTTGGATTAGCAGAATCAGTGGATGCGACTGCTTCCGCAAGAACAGCCTCTACGACTGGCACTGGTATTTCCACTTGTGAATCTTCAGGAACGGTAGAAGTTTCTTTAGAAATGGGAGCTCCAGCTTTAACATCTATGGAAGCGGTTTTAACTTCAGCAGGCGCACCTGAAGAGCTAGACTCGGTGATTGGAGCCGCAATATTCAGTGGCGCTGCTTCTGCAGGTGCTTGTTTTGTTGCTTCTAAAGACACAGTACTTTCTGATGCAGCTGTTATACCTGAAGTAACAGGCCTATCTACCGGAATAGAAGCTTCTACTGCTGCAGGCGATTCAGCAGGAGTTTTCTCTATACCAGAATCATCTTTTGTTTCTTTCGGCTGTTCAGATATATCGGAACGAATAGTTTTCTGGGATTCGTCAGTAGTTAATAAAACGGCATCGGTTTCAACAGCCTTTGGTTGATCATTAGTCTCTTTTGCAGATGGGTGCTCTTCTGGTGGCGGAGTGGGCAGTTTTTGAACTGAGGCCGGAGCTTGGCTCAATGTTTGCGAAATCTTCGCCCAGATATTAGCAAATGAATCAGCACCCATATAATCGATGCTGCCTGCTTCCCATCCTTGCCGTCGAGTTAGCTCATCGATAGCCTCCTGTTGCGTTCCAACCGCATCAGGTGATACTCGTGCTAAATTACCCGCAACACCACTCTGTAAAGGAATACGATAACTGTACTCAATTTTGTTCTTTCGTTCTTTATTTAAATTCAGAAGGAATATGAATAACATAAAATAAATACGAATTATTAAAGTAAACAAACACAATATTGTTAATAATTGTTTTAGTTATAGATAACTACGTGCACTTTGGTTTAATAGTATGGCATGCAAGCTACAATTAGGGGAGTGGCAATATCATTCTCATACAAAAAATGGCAAACAGTAAATATTTAAAAAAAATCAAATCGACTCTAAATACTTCTTAGGTTCTACGTACGTGAAAAACTATACGAACCGATATATTATCCAGTTAAATAGAACTCGGAAAGATAACTTACATGATAATGTTCGTCACTCTCTACAAAAGTTTCCTCTGGTGACGAAAAGTCAGATATCGCATCAAAGAAAATTGGGCTTTCCGGAGGTGACAACGATGGCGACGGAGATGGTGTCGGTGGAATTTCGTGCGTGCATATCTTGCGTCCACGTGAGTCTATGGTCATTCGGTGCCTCAAATAAAAACCATCGTAAGGGTGCCTTGGAATTATGAAATCTTCCATTTCGGATTCTGTTATAAAACCATTGATTTTTTTTGGAGTGCCTGGTACTGGTAAGCTTTTTAATGTTTGCTTTTGACGATTTTTTTCTTTTTCATGATCTAAATGTACACAATAAACATATTTCACTCTGTTTTGTACAGGATAGGTAAATTTTTCTGTATTATTATGTACAAGAATTGTTAATTCTTTATTTTGATCCATTTTTGACTCAGAATTATGTACATGTTCATCATTTTTGTGTGTAGTGTACAAATCGTTATTATGGTTAATATCTTTATTGTGATGTTCTTCTTGACTAGAGTGAATCCCTTCATATTTATCAAGTGTTACTGTAGTATATTCGTGATTATTATTGCCATGGAATTCCAATTGTGGTAAGTAGTGCTCTTGAAATTGTTGGGGTTCATGCTGACTGTTAAATTGTGATTGAACTATATCAGAATTTTGTGATGACTGATACTCATGATTACCGTAATCTTGATGCTCTGGTGAGTTATTGTTATAGTTCGAATCGTTCGACTGATGTATACTTTGTCGGTCAAAGCTATAACTAGGAGGTGGTTCTAATTGTTTGTTACCGTAATCATAGTAATTCCTGGGCTGAAATTCATGATGGTGTTGATTTTGATTATAATCGTGATGGTGATAATGTTGTGTATTGTTTGACCAAGGCCAGGTTATCCGTGTGCCTTGTTCGTGAGCTAATTCTGTATTATGTGCTTCCATGTGTTGATTATCCATGTGATGAGTTTCAGTGTGATGTGTTTTATGGTGATGTGTTTCACTGTGATGTGTGTCGGTGTATTGCGGTTGTGTGTGATTTTGAATTTGCTGTACTGACGAAGATTCCCACATAAGTTTTCTAAGCTCCTGTTGTTTATCTATCGCTTGTACATAAGAACAGGTACTTTTTGCCTCGTCTGCTATAACTGGAATTTCGCCTTGGTAAATATCCCAGGGATCATGAAATTGAGACATGTCTATCGTGGGCGCAATCATTTCTGTCTCCATGGTTTGAGTGTCTGGGCGATGCCAGTGAAATTCCGAATCCGGATTTAGTACCGGTTTATAATGGTTATAATCTGATCTTGGCTCAATATAGGAGAAGTTCTCTTGTTGGGGCACAATCGCCGTGGGGATGTCTTCAACCTCAACCTATCGGTTGGAGTGATAAGGCTCAGTGGGATGGCATGCAAATAATCACTTGAACTAAGCCTTACGCATGTTGATTTGTTTTTGATACGATGCAAAAAGCTTTGTTCAAGTCATTAATATTAAAAAAAACACATACACACAATTCGTCAGCACATAAACATACAAGTAATTTGTGTTAAGTTTAAAAATAATTTTAATAGTAAAAAATAACCGTATTTTAAACTATGATTACATTATGTATGTTTATGTAGCCAACGCGGTGACGTTTCACCAAAATACCAACACCATCTACTTCATCCCAAATATTAATTATTACAAATGTCCCGTGCAAAAGCGAAAAGAGAAATTGGAAGTTAGAAAATGTTAGTATTTTGGAGAAATGTTTAGATTATTAATGCACTAGCGTCGTAGTGAATTATAAAAGAAAAAATGAAAAATAGCAGAGCGGTGCACAAGCTTATTTGCAAGCGTGTTTAGGACTTTAGTCTCTTTATATTTACAGAACAGCAAAAACAAAAGGTTAAAGGAAAAGTTTTCATTCTAGAAATTGAAACGTACGCAAAAAATAATGACCGTAATTTGCGATGCTTTATTTTATAAAAAATTCTCACCTCTGTAATATTAGTCTCCTGTTGTGAATGCTTGGAAGACATGTTGTATCAATAAGATTGTAAGAGACTATGAACATTACTATATAGATTTCATTTGTCATCACAGTATGGAGACTGTGGTTTTCGAGAACCGCAGAAAATGGATGTCAATGTGGTTATATGATAACTGATATTATATGCTTCAAGTATTGGGATCATGACTCATTGTAGCAATGATTCAAATAATAGCATTTGAAAGATAATATGTTATATATTACGTTACATAATACGTTTCGAATTTCCACAGAAATATATTTAATACATAAAGTTACTATAGTTTTAACTTGCCCACAGAAAATATTTTATCTTTCATAGCCTACCATAATTCTAGCAACGGTAAATAACTTCACAATTTCAATATATTATGTCATTTTAGCTTAACTTAAACATAATTTTATTGCAAAACTAAGTTATTGTGACTTACCATAGAGGGATCGAGTTGAGTGTGGACTTGTGAGACAAATAAGTCCCACCATAGTTGGAGTAATTCGCGCAAATGCTCCGGTGCGTCCACACTACGAGATTCCCAGTTGAAATGTTGGAGCCAAGGCTTGGCCGCGCCGATGAAATGAATAATTTTAAGGTTTTGCCCAAATCTAAAATAACAATAAAACGTTATTAGCATTATTTATTTGAGACAAAATAAATTTTTGAAAGTTCTATTCGTATAAATATTATCACGTGATGTTTCGTTTAAAAGGAAGGTTTCTTGTTACTTTGTCGAAACAATAAAATGCGTTTTTCGTGTTTCCAACTTTATGGCCAAAAAAATGCTAAACACTAACAGAAATAACGGTCAAACCACTCAGTTAAAAATACTCGTATATATTTTCATAATATGATGTAATATGTAAAGCAAATGTTATTCAAAAACAACGTATGCGTGTATTTTTGATAAGAGCTGAACCGCGCGGTTTAGCTCGCGTGAAATTGGGGTTAAAAAAATAATTTCAAAATATAACGAAAAAAATTACAGAAAATATACTATCTATAATTAAATACTAAACTATTATATTTTTTCGTATTTATATTATGGGTAACTAAGTACTTTTTGTTAATTTCTATTAAACAAATTTATAATGGATGCTGTGACCTATAGACATCTACATCTACCCTCGATTAAGAATCAAGAAAATGCCTTGTAACCCTTGAGGACTAAAATGACTCAATTCCAATAAAAAGAACAAAACACAACAGAACTAAGCTGCTATTTTACCCTGGTATCCTGTGAGAGCGTGGTCATTCCCAGTTCGAGCCCATTCATACTGCAGCTATAATAATATAGCATGCAGTATAGCTCTACACGATCAGCGTACGGCAAAAAGAATAAGGTGTGCTGGTCTCATATTAAAAACTAATTTTGTTCACAATAAGACATCGCCTATGTCAATCGGAAATCGAGAACAGTATAGTTGAATACATTATTAGATGCGGATGACAGTACTCCCCTCCTAATCTCTGCCAATCCTAAAAGGCATGTAGTTAAAAGTCCAACACCGCCGCACCCTTTTGCTTCGGGCGCAAAAAAATGACAGTTACGGAGATTACCGTCTACAAGTAAATTCTTATTAACAACTTTGTCTCTAAATAACATTAGTGTATAAGAAATAGTAAAAAATAGATCAAGTGGATCTATTTTTTTTACCTATTAAATACTGGTACATTTTTCGTATCTTTTATTTCGTTATTTAGAGCATCTGCTACTATTTCCTACCAGGTGACACGCCAGGTGATACCACTATCAGTGAATACCGTCTGACATTAAATCCGTCCTTTATTATCTTTTACGTTAGTATAATAAATTAAAAAAAAAACCTCACGTGATATCAGTGTGACCACAAAGTTTGACTCTGAGGAAGAACCTATTATAAGACAGTATGTACTGCATCACAACAGCATTTAAAGGGATATCTTCTCGGCTCTTAATCCATACAAACGTATTTCTCCGTTTTCTCCCTGGATAATGACACTATACCGAATATTTTTACAATAAAATCTATATCTATGACTGCCATGTTTAATTTTTTTTAATTAATTATTTTCCCAATCATATCCCCGTTTGTCGAATATCCAACTAACTAATTTAAAGAACACCTTAAATAAAAGAAAAAAACATAGATATCGCGGTAATCCTTCGTATATTGTTGTTAAACAAAATTTAAAATAGGTCCAGTTTTGGAGAGGCCAATTTTTCACAGTTATAACTAAATCACACTAGTTGCCTCTCTCGGTTATATAGATCAGTCATTCGTGTAAAATGCGACAATAGATCTTTCTAAAACTGTTCTTCCAAACGTCTTGCTGCCAGATATTCTCATAAAAAAATGATGTAAGCAAAGATCGACTCCATTACTAAAACAACTTACTGTTTAAAAGCGGGCAAATATGAATAAAATGCTGCGGATGTAACATTATACAGGAATGGTAGATGTTTGTTGATGTCCCCGTGCGCCCAGTCGGAGAAGTATGAGTTCAGCAGACCCTGGTCGCCACCTAGCAGAAACACTTACGATTTTTAAATGCACAGACAGATGAAGCGGCTTTTAAGAACATTCCGCACGTTTAATAACGTTTGTATAATGTTGTTATAGTGTATAATCTTTTCAGACCTAGGGGTAACGCTTCTCGCATTAAGCCAGTTACAGACTACGCAGATACGATAATATGAGAATTGATACATTCACTCGAAATTCTTGAAAATTACGTACTTGTTTTTGAAACGAATTGTTTATACAAAGTGTTACCTACAATGAATTGGTGTATATTGCTTCTAGATTTGCTAGACAGCTCGCCAGAATAGGATTCAGATTTTGATTTTGATGCACGTGTTGCAATAGCATTTAATAAAAGGCAAATAATTTCTTTTATATAAAACATAATAGAGACCGAGAACTTAAAAGGGACCGAGGCGAATTTAAACGCATTTTTTCAGCGACCTGTATTTATCTGCACGTGAAATCCCATGCCATATTTGTATCTGCAGATATATTTGTATGAGCAGATAATATTGTCACCATCTTTTGGTATATACCTATCGGTGCTTAAAGATACTTATCGATAAATATAAATTATCTGCACCGTGTGTGTTAGTTCATTGAATTTCACAGAGAGCGATATTGAAAGATATGCGCTCATATACAGATATCGTATCTGTGTAGTGTGTGATTCGCTTTACCAGTACCCTGCACCATCAGCTCTACCCTAGCTAGCCCTCATAACAAGCTTATGAGAAATTCCTCTAAAAAATGCATGCCAGCTGATACATTACTAAAGAGGTCTTAGTCCCAGCAGTGAACTTAAAAAGGCGTTTGTTATGATAAAAATGGACAGATAAGGTAGTTTTTGGGCCATTTTCCCGAATTAAAATTCAAGCTTTAATAGTTAAATAAATAACATACTTCAATAGTTTTCTCAAGTTTTCGCAGGTATCTGGACATGTCCGTTTACAATAATAAAAATTTATTTCCTAAAGGATCTTTTATAAATAATGAATTTCGGATAGTGATATTCCTTTTTACGAGATATTTTAAGGAAGACCATCCTACGCGATGCAATCAAAGGTAACAAAATAACGACGCGGGTGTAGCGCCTCGACCACATTTAGACTTCATCTCCAATTTGCAGCGGTCTCTCCCGAGGCGTACTGGCTTACAAAGACGAGAATCATCATTTTCTTTTCTTTTATCTTAAAATTAAATAATTAATAATAGTGAGAGCATATGGACATGATGGTTTACCGACAAATCGTACATTGTAAACCAATAAAATAGTAGTTCCGTTTAAATTAATATTTTCTGCGACCTCACTCCAACAAGCGATTGTAAACCTAGGTCATATGTTAATTAATATCATATTATTTTTAATATATTAATATTATAATTGTTTAAAAAACGTAAACGAAAATTCATCATGACCTGTGATGATCCTAGTAAGAATACTAGGGAAAAATCGTGATATTATCACACTGTCTTTTTATAGAACAAGAATGACAAATGGGCTCACAGTCCACCTGATGGCAACTGGATATTGTGACCCATAGACATCAACATTTATCCTCGATTGAGATACAAAATGAAATGCGTCGTCACCCCTGAGGACCAAAATGGAATGCCTCGTTTCCAGTAAAAAGAGTCTCCGGTTTTTAGAACAACATTATATCTAACGTCAAGATGTTTGTTACTGTTTGTATGCCTATCAATTGTATGTGCATGAGGCAGAAAATAACGACTTCGACCTTGCATTGTCAATGTCTTATGATAGTAGTGAGTGATCTATTGATCAGTATATTAATGTTAGCAATAACTTCAATTGCAGTACCGGAGATACTAAAACAAGCGAGGACGTAGACTATCTATTAAATAAAGTAAATACTAAATATAGATCTTACTCACCATCGAAACTGCCGCGCTCTTGAGCAAACGTGATCAAACTGCTGAAAGTTTCCGCTGAGGGCCTGAAGACGAACACACCCGAATTGAAGCAGTCGGGCCAGCCAACGTCGGGGGCGGCTGAGAGTTCCTCCCGATCGAATAGTTCGTCACAGTTTTGGACCACCTAGGGAAAAAATATTCGTAAATTTTCTTATATTATGACTTTGGAATTCTCAGGTGTGACAACGCGTCTCTTTCATTATTATACGAGACTAGACGTTTTTTGATGCCATGGCCCACTTACACCATGCGCCACTGCAGCACTGCTGTGTTCCGGTCTGAAAGCCAGCATAAATACAGCCTGTGAGACATTCCATCTTGGTTCCCAGAGCTGAAAATCATATGTAGCCTGCTTTGTTTGAAATTGGCTGTGGGTGTCATGGACCAGACAGCATACTTACCATCAGCGTACAGGTGGACATTATTTATTAGTGCCCATTTGTCCGATGATTATACTTAAAAATAAAAACTCTACAGTTATTAATCATTTTGTATTTTCTTAATAAAGTTAAATATATATATATACATATATATAATAATAAAAAAAAAAAAAAAAATGGGGTAATACCGGACGATTTTCGACTAGTTAAAAGAGTCGGGCAAAAACTTTATTTTCTCGACATCCATATAGGTACGTCAGATTTCTGAAACATGGCGCAAATCGTTAATGTTTACACGTAATTTAGCTATAAGAAGCTTTTACTTTTCAAAACACAACTCTGCTTAAAACACTAGGGAAGAAAAGGCATAATTTTTCATATGCATGATGAAGAATTGGCCATCAAGGGGAAGACCGGACGCTTCAAGATAGGACGAAAAAAAATACAAAAATTACCTTGTATTATAAAATACTACGCAGCACACGCCCTACTTCTCGGAGCGACTGGCTGAAACTTGGGGTCGGGGCAGAATAAAATGGAGTCTTGTACTATATTGCTATCTTTCAAAAATATAGCATAATTCACCGGAAATTTGAATTTTACTGTCTTACCCCCTCACCGATCTTGCACTATATATATATATATATATATATATATATATATATATATATATATATATATATGCTCTCAGCTTTTGCTAACGTTATCGATTCATTAAAAATATAAAAAATTTACACTTTTATTGTAGTGACGTTGATTGATGGGCCACGGGCTGCCAGCAATCTGATATAGCACTTCTGAGCAGCAGTCACAAAAGTTGTTTTTTTATAGGATAGGGTGACAAACGAGCACACAGTCTACCTGATGGTAATGGTAAGTGGTTGCTGTGGCTCATAGACTACATCTATCCTCGATTACGAATCAAAATGCAGATGCGTTGTCACCCGTGAGGACTTAGGTGGAATGCTTCGTTTCCAGTAAAAAGGGTCTCCGGTTCTCTACACTCACCATACGAAACACAGCAGCGTTAAGCTACCATTTGACGCCGGTATTCTGTGACAGCATGGTCCTTCCCCGGTCGAGCCGACCCATTCGTGCTACAACTATACTACTAATATAACTGCAGCATGGCTCTACCACGTAAAAAAATCACTCACACAATACCAGTCTCACAGAATACCAGCGTAAAATAGCAGCTTGATGCTACTGATTTCGTATGGTGAGTGTAGAGAACCGGAGACCCGTTTTACTGGAATCGAGGTATTCAATCTTAGTCCTCAGGGGTGACAGCGAATCTGCATGTTGATTATTAATCGAGGATAAATGTGTACGAGGGGTGATCCAAAAGTAATGATAATCGGTTACTTCAGGTCCGCATAAAAATCAAAAAAAATATTTTTTGCTTGCTTATATACTCACTACGTCAGCCTAAAAAATCATATAAATAGATCACGATTCCGGGAGATACATTCATTTGAATACGAACTGTCAAAGAGATAACATCAACATGGAGAAAAACGAAATTAGAGCTGTCATCAAGTACCTCTGTTTGAAAAAAATGTCTTCAAAAGACATACACAGTGACTTAGTGGAAACGTTGGGGGACTCTGCTCCTCCATATTCTACAGTTGCACGCTGGGCCAAGGAGTTTAAAGTGGGCAGAACATCCACTGAAGATGAACATCGCGAAGGACGCCCATCCACGTCCCTCACTGAAGACAACGTGAAAAAAGTCGAAGATGTTATGTTGGCAGATCGAAGAGTGACCATCAGGCATGTAGCTGAGGTCACAGGGATCGAGTTGACATTTCGAGGGTCAATCTCGAAAAGTTCCAAGCAGATCAAGAAAATTTTTTGTTCCGTTTTGTGACTATGGACGAGACCTGGATCCACCATTTTGATCCCGAAACGAAACAACAATCGATGACTTGGAAGCGAGCCTCCTCACCGATGCCAAAGAAATTCAAAGTTTCAAGTTCGGCGGGAAAGGTTATGGCATCTGTTTTTTGGGACGCTCAAGGCATAATTATGGTGGAATATTTGGAAAAGGAAGCCACTATTACGGGCTCTTACTACGCAGACCAAATAAGAAGATTACGGGAGGCCTTTAACGAAAAAAGACGCAGCAAACTGCGAGCTGGAGTGGTGTTTCACCAGACAACGCACCGGCTCTCAATGCCGCAGTTGCAATGGCTGCCATTCAAGAAACGGGATTCGAACTGCTCGAACACCCTCCCTATTCGCCAGATCTATCTCCTAGTGACCCTCCTTCTTCGGCTCAAGGAACGCCTCCGAGGCAAGAAATTCGAAGACGATAGCGAAGTAATGGCCGCTGTTGAAGCGTTTTGGGAGGGTCAAGACAAAGAATTTTTTTCAAAGGGAATCCTGGGTTTAGAAAAAAGAAGGACTAAATGTATTGATTTGTTAGGAGACTATGTAGAAAAATAAATTATTATTTAAACTTTAATTACCGTGTTTTATTTTCATTATCATTACTTTTGGATCAGCCCTCGTAGATATCTATAGGCCAAAGCATCCACTTACTATGGTCTGTGTGCTCGTTTGTCACCCTAATTCTATAAAAAAAAATTTGGGTGACCACTGCGGGGTCGATCAGCTAAATTATGCATGCCGTCATATTTCTGCAACGTGGCCTACGGATTGGGATACAGGAACTTTGGGTGCTATTTCTTTCGTGAAATATCCTTCTTACCTCAAAGTTACAATTATTGCTCATGACTTCTGATAATCAAAACTTCTGATAATCCTTTTGGCGTTTGTAATCACAACTTTGCTCGAAAAAAATATTTTAAATCCGGTAAAATTGACTAAGTCCGATTTATGAATAAGTGTAAGCTTAGATTGAATTTCTTTTTATATAGAAAAACAATTGAATTTGTTTTATTGTTTTATATTCTAATTCTATTTTAAATAATCTAAAACGAATAAGAAATTATATTGTAGTATACCGTAACAAAAAAGATTTCGATTTTTCAAACATGAGTGCATTATTAAAAGATTAAAATTTGCTTTATTTATATTTTTATGCAGTTACAATTTGAATAAACATAGTAAAAGAAGATTATAATGTCTAGAAGTTTATACTTCCTATGCAAACATTTTATTATTACAAAAAATACACAATAAAACTAATACGATGGCGACAACATGAGCTTAATACGTGATTCTTTGATATAATGATAAGTTAAACACTTATAGTCAAACGAATGTCAATAAATTGGATTAGAGAGAACATCCTTCATGCTCTAATTCAATTTAGCAACCTTGAGCATGTTCACTACCGTGTCTGTGATCTAACAAATCCAATTTGTCGTATTTTTCTAAACACATTTTGCTCCGATTCAATAGAAGCCGTATTCGCAAGTCTAAACGCACTATGCACAAGCATTATGATATAGTACGAGTAATTAATTAAGTATTCAGTACTTTTTATCTGTAGGTATGTGGATAAAGTTTTATTTGACACAATAACCTGCGAGTGATAAAGATGCGTGGTATGTCAATGGAAGCCATCGACACGCTATCACATTGTTTATTACTGGCGTGAATATTTATTATTTTAAATTTCTGTGACCATTTGCCGGCACAGTTACGTAACGAAATGTTTCATACGTGCAGTATTCAATCTAGAGGCACATCGCGTATCAGAAGTCACTATAATTCACAACGGTTACAGTCATCTGTTAAATTTGAAAGAAAAACGCAGAAAGAAAGTTTATTGAGAATTTGGAGCACATCCAAAACTATCGGGAAGAAATATTTGGGCCACGGTTGCTCGTCTCGTGTTACTGAGCGGACGGTCGCATCCGGTAACATTGACTTTCTTATCATGTAAACATCTGTAAATCGAAATAGTTTTAACGACTTTCACATAAAGTCGTTAATCGAGTATTAAAAATCCAATAGTTTAGTCATCCGCTGCAACGCAAATCATACTACATATTCTCGTGTTTGGTTGAACCTGAATGATTGAATCAGAGCAAGCAATACCTAAACAGTTTCTGAAAGGAAGATCAATCAAAATAAACATTTTTTATGAGCGCGTGGTTTTAAAAGAATTGATGACGGTTATTCTCACAGCAATGTTTATCTCGCTTTCAACATGATAGCGTTACTTCAAATAGCGTGGTAAACTATCAATGTCACAATCCTATTTTTAAACGCTTTTTTGTATTTGTAGTGACAAATATAATCGCCTGTTACCTCAGAGTCACACATAATATACATATTATATTTATTTATTATTATATAATATATGTATGTTCTTACTCTAAGCCTATCGTATATTGCTGTCTTCTTCCAAAACATAGATCTAGACATATTACATACACCTAATAAAAATGTATTAAGGTGAATATTAAAGTCTTTGGGTTTATACATGTATATGAAGTGACATTAACATATATGCAAAATAGTCGATACGGTATTTTATTAAATATTGTGCATCCACGATAAGTTTTTATCAACGAATTCGAAAACATTATTGGACTATCACAAATAATTGACATTTTAAAAGCCAGAGAATAATAAGATATTTGTCAAAAGAAGTACGTATGTTTCCTTATTCTTCATCGGCCCGTGTCAAAACCACTCCTCAAAATCCACTGCTATTCATAGGATTTCTCCTATCCGGGAGGTGGGGGATTATCTGCCATAAATCTATCGGAGGCCATAAAAGTTTTCTGTCGTTTCCCATACTCACTTCTAACGATAACGATACCCACGCCACGGGCTAAAAAAGGGGTGATATATTATCTTACGCTACCATCAAACGGCACTAAAAATAGTGCATTCTTTATAATGACATTTACAATGAAATCCAAACTAAATACAGCGAATACTTGTTTCATGGTGAAAATAACATAATATGTTCCTTTATACAAGGTGCGAAGACACAAGAGCTGGTTTGGCAAACTAGTCTGCTCAAGACTGTGGCAAGCCGTGTGGTAGAGCCATGCTGCAGTTATATTTACACGTGGTAGAGCCATGCTGCAGTTATATCAGTAGTATATTTGTAGCTCGAATGAGTCGGCTCGACCGGGGAAGGACCACGCTCTCACAGAATTAATGCTGCTGTGTTCCGTATGGTGAGTGTAGAGAACTGGAGACCTTTTTTACTGGAAACGAGGCATTCCATCTTAGCCCTCACGGGTGACAACGCATCTACATTTTGATTCGTAATTGATTCGCATCAGGTGGACTGTGTGTTCGTTTATCATCCTATCCTATAAAAAAAATTAGTTTCCGCTTTCCGGACGGATTTTCTCTCATCAGCCTCTCGTCACATACCTCATCACTTAACAGCAGAGTACAATGCGTGCAGATGTGATTTGCAATGTACAAAAGTTGGCATATTTCTCCTTATACCCTAAGTTACATGAGTATTGAGTAAGTAATAAATATAATAACTAACTATAAACAGTTTGAATATAGGTATTTGGAATTGTGTTGACAAAAATATTAATTATGAACATGATCTTACCAAAGTGTCTGCGTCCAGGAACACGCATTTCTCGTATTGAGTGAGATTCCAACAATGAATTTTCGTAAAAGTGATCCCAAGGTCGGGACGCTGTAGTAGGGCCAGGTGTGCAGCATCACCGGAGTCCAATACGTCTACAGTTACGACATTGGCGAACACGGCATTAAGACGATCCCTGAAGATACAACGTATGCAATGGAATATTTTTATATTTGCTTTTTCAAGTCTCTCAGTGCATATACTCTGTACTCCAAACGTCTTACTAAACTTCTTGACTGCGAGGTATTTAATTGCTTTCTTTTTTATTAGGCAGAAGGGCTTCTATATCGCATAGAACTCCGTCTATGTAATAACATTACCCTCTTAGCTATTTGTACCACCAAACGACAGTGCGACTACCGTTCTGATCTGGTTTGAATAGTAAGATAACCAGTAAATTCTTATTTGGGTTTATTTAATATATTGATAGTATGTTAACATATAATTATATTTTTTTCAACAATAAAGTAACAAACAAGATAATTTCACTTGATTGTCAATATCTACAGTAGCCTATGGGCATCTGCCATCATTTTAAAAAAGGTGTTAGATGTGTTGTATTCCTGAGAACTATGACTATTACCTCATAGTCTGTATCCGTTATAATTGAACTGAAGTTACCTTACGCTTCAAACCAGAATATAACAGAAGCAGCTGTTGCTTAGCGGAAGAACTAAGGATGACGGAGTTATCTAACCCAAAAAAGAAATCCTTCCATCAAGAAGCGATAGCCAATATATTAACATAATGAAATTTATATTTATTTTAACGTCATAGAGCCACGCTGCAGTTATACACAGCTGCAGAACAAATGAGTCTTGGTAGGACCACGCTCTCACAGAGTACCAGCGTGAAACAGCAGAATAACATGCTACTGTTCTGTATGGTGAGTGTAGAGGAGCAAAGAGCCTTTTTACTGCTAACTAAGCATTCCATCTTAGTTCTCAGGGATGACCACGCATCTACGTTTTGATTAAGACGATAGATGTAGATCTATGGGCCATACATATATCATAGCATCAGGTGGACTATGTGCTCGTTTGTTACGGTAGTCTATAAAAAAATAAGTAAAAGTATAATGTAATAAGAACGCGTTTGTTCTCTATCGCATATTTAGCAGAATTGAACGTATTGTATACGACAGTACCTCATCGGGTCCGTGACGGAAGGTGTGATGAGAACCACGGCTGGATAGGCAGAGCCAGCGCGACGCAGTGAATGTGCCAGTACCAAGGCTCCAAGGCTGTATGAATCGTTTGTGGCCAGTGTGACCCATGCTCGACCTGAAAATTATTTCAAATAATTACATTTTTACTTTTAATTACTTTCTTTAATGAATAAAATTCTTTTTATAAAAGTTTAGTATCAAATCACGTGCGGTAGCAATATAAGGGAATGCATCAGTCTTTTTTGCTGGGGAAAAACACCATCGGATGTGTTGTTTTTATTAAGACTAATAAAAGAGATAGTTCATTCATTCGTTCGTTTTACACGGGGTAGAGCCATGCTGCAGCTATATCATAGTTGTAGCAGGAATGGGTCGGCTCGACTGGAAAAGAACCACCCTCTCACAGAACACTAGAGTAAAATAGCTGCTCAATGCTGCTGTGTTTCGTACGGTGAGTGTAGAGAACCGGAGGCCCTTTTTACTGGTAAAAGGGCATTCCACCTTAGTCCTCAGGGGTGGCAACGCAAGTGTATTTTGATTTAATCGAGGATAGATGTAGATGTCTATGGGCCACAACATCCACTTAATATCAGGTGGTCTGGGTGCCCGTGTGTCACACTAATTCTGTAAAAAAAATTGTCGAAATATCTTGTATGTTAGTTATTCAATGCCTATTCTTTATGAAATGTTATTGTTTTTATTGTTATTTAGACCCAAGTGCTAAACAAAGTACAAATTGTATTTATTTATAAACAACCAGATAGATTCTAAATATAAAAGGCATTCAGTGGCTGTGCAATTTCTTTGTTTGCAGTATGAAAGCAGCAGTGTTTTCATTATAGATACATTAAACATCATGTGTATTGGAGATAGCCACTATCACGGACATATTACATTTCGAAAAAATAAATATTTTTTTCATAAAATGATGTACCTACATAATATAAACGCAGTGTTAAATAATAATTTTGAAAAAAAAAACTCCTAATTAACATCTGTGTCGCATGCAAGTTTCATTTCTTTGTTTTTAAAATTTGTTTTATTATAATTTTTGATGGATAATGGCCTAAAAATAATTATCCTCGGTCTGGGAACATTCATTTTTAGGCCATTGTCATGTGCAATATATATATTTTTTTGACATTGTATATAAGTTAAACGCCTCTTATACGTGAGAAATTTTAAGTGGCAAAATTTGCAGAGAAGAGTCACAATAAGTAATATTGGCAAATAGTGAAGAAAAATTGATTAAAAAAAATCTCGAGCATTCTTTCCTTTGTATACAGAGTAGGGGACAAGATTTATCCGCATATAAAGATGTTAATTTTGAGAAAAAAAATTGCAAAACTAGTAACTCGAAAATCCATCCAATTTCACCTCAACGTACCTTAGTGTTAGTTTTCTAGTCAGGTTATGCTGATAGATGTTTTTTTAAACTATTATGAGCCAGTGCTTGACTATTATCTCACCTGGTGGTGAGTGGTGATGGAGCCAAAGTCCTTGAAGTCACCCACTTTATAATTGGATAGAATTATACACTACCGCCAATGTTGTAGTTGCCAATGACGTGCATGCATACAATTTCGAAAATAACTAGTAATCACTGCGTTTTGGAGGATTACGCATATTAAGGCTTGTATAGTCGGTATAGCACCCAAAATATTTACATGGACTAAAAACGAGGCATTCCATTTATTTTGATTCGCAACCGAGCGATCGGATGTAGATCGTCTATGAGGCCACAGCTACCAAATCAGATGGACTGAGTGCTCGCTTGTCAACCTTTTCCTGTAAAAAAACAACCACACGATTTATGAGCACTGTCGGCTACTTAACTATTGTATTGGTCGAAAGTCTAGACGTCGTCCGTTGCTAAGATATCTATTGACCGTTGACGCTGTGCCTGGCGTTCAGACGCCGATCGGAACGTTTACGCTGAAGTCGGACGTCGCGTATAGCATTTAATAGGAGACCGTAGCCTAAGTATCTGCCGCACAGCCCCAATGCGTGTTGTCAGACTTAACATGTATTCGAAATATATTTTTGTTTAAATTTCTCAGACGTGCCGGTTGTACATGGTAAATCAGCACTTAAAATCGCAATTAACGATTTTATTGGTGCCAGAGGAATCCAATCCAGGTTGCTCGTGTACTGTGGTATTTATGGCGAGCATTACTCCTGAGCTACCAAGGCTCCTTTAATAATATATTCATCGTAATAGAAAATACAATATATTTATCGTGGGGAAAATTACATTAAATATTTCTGATCACAAGGAAGTATACGAAAATTTTGCTTTTTGTAGCTAATCAAACATTTTATAACGACTAGTATAAATTTAATTATACACTACCGCCAGTTGCCAATGACGTGCTGCATAAATTTCGAAAATAACTAGCAATCACCGTTTTGGAGGATTACGCTATTCTACATAACATGTTGTGTCTATGTGTCCGCTTCGTCACTTACAGAGAAAATGCGCAGTTCGTCCACACGAACGTGGAAATGCGTAGATGCGCCCACTGATCGTATAAAATTATGCTGGCACGTGTTTCACTCTAGCATTGGCTTCCCTATTGCGTTCACTTAGAATAGAATATTTTTATACAATATAGATTATGAGTAATAATTATTGAAATTCATTTAGGTTTATACCAGACGTCCATTCATTGCATCCTTATTTACCCTGATTTGGAAAAAGCTTTCGTCCTGATAAGAAACTGCAAGACACTTAGCGGGACTCTTCTTTTTTAAATATTAATTTACAATGTAAAAATAAAACCATTTAGTATTTTTATTTATTTAGTTATTTAATAGTGATCATCTCGATTCCAGGAGTTATATCGATCGTGTACTTGTATAATATAATACCTAAATAACACTTTTTTGTACCATAAAAAAGTATGTCCGTAACCTGCATATTTTCAGGAAACTTGTTTGTAAAAGTGAACGTATTCGTATATTGCCACATGAAGAATTATTGACGCTGAAGTCGAGTAACTGGTATTACTAGCTTTTTTTGTCTCTAGTATTGAATACAATGTACACTAACTATTTTTTAGAACTGTTGTTTCTGTAAATATAAATTGATTAGTAAATTTATGAAAGTAAAAGTTAATAAATGTATTTATTGTTTTTATTTTTTTCCCTAAGAGACTTCTCATGATTTAGGTTATAAAGTGTTCTTATTGCTCTCTTCTGCAAAAAGGTAAACAAACATAACATTTGTTTGTTGCAAATAATATATGTTTATTATGTACATCATTATCATTAATTATTAAAGCCCTTCACCAGTCCACAGCTGAACATAGGCCTCCTCTAAGGAACGCCACAAAGCACGGTCCTGAGCTACCTGCATCCATCGACTTCCTGCGTATCTTACCAGGTCGTCACTGCACCCACTTACGAGATTACCACTCGAAAAACTTTCTTACCCATGAGTTGATCACTATATAGCCTGCCCACTCCACCTTAACTTACTAATTCTGTGGGCTATGTCGGTTACTCTGGTTCTATTGCAGATATCTTCATTTTTAAGTCTGTTACGCAGAGAAACCCCGAGTATAGCTCCCTGAACGATCTTCAGCTTCCTCATACAGCCAGCAATAAAGGACTACGTCTCAGATCCTTAAGCCATCACTGGCAGCACGCACTGGTTGTACAATCTTGCTTTCAAGTTTTGGGATATACCTGACGAGATGTGTCGTAATCACCCAAACGCTGCCCAGCCGAGTTGAATCCGTCGATTGATCCTCAGTCAAAATTGGATTTACCCAGTCGGACTATTTATACATACCTATCAAAAATTTCAATGTTGCGTTACCCTATTGCAAGATTCTAACGTCGTTATGAAGCAATAACTCAAATATACTAATTTAGCAGTTTCAAGATATATACGTATATGATATTAATCGTATATTTTTATCATATTATAACTTAGGAACAGAAGTACAAGATATTCATCACAAAATTTTACAATTCAACCGTTGTACACTCCTCCGTGCATTGAAACGAGCTTTATATCAAGTGTGACTGTCTCGTTGATTTAGTGGTTAGTGATCATGAGGTATCCGGTTCAAATCCTGGGTTGGGTCATCAAAAATCAGCTATTGAGTATTTCTGTCAAGAAATTTTCAGTAGCAGCTCGGAGTCAGGAAGATGTTTCACCTCAGTACCTCGGAAAGCGTGTAAAGCCTTAGATCTTGCGCCTGATCACCCTCCGGTAGTGTCGGATTACCGTTCTATCGGATTAGGAGAGTGACAGAATAGAGTACCCCTGTGCTTGCACGTACACTTGGGCACTATGGCTGAGATCTATAGACCGTACTTTGATTTTGCTCAGACTTTGCTTTTGAGCTAAGACAATGTCGGTATTTATAGAGCTAGCTTCGAACTCGTGCTGAGTGCGCGCTTAGCAAAGCCTAAGTGAACGAAATCGGCGACTTAAGAAAACTCAGGATAACGTACCTGGACCACCGTATTAGTTTTGAATTGTTGTTTTTATGTTACTAATTATTTATAATAATAAAAAAGCATTTTATATTTTAAATGCCTAATGCGTTTAAAATATTTAAAACATCACTTGAAAAAATAGTGATTTGACAGCGTTTGACCGGCTGACCAAACGTTCGGTTTCTTTCTCATAGTATTTTAAACTAAAATAGTTAAATGTAATAACAACTTCTTTATGAAATACAATTTAAATTGTTTACGATTTTTGAAGAATATTTTTTTGAATTTTATAAGCTTAGCTTAATCTTAGCCCGATGCTACTATAAATTAAGAATCAAAGATTATGCTCAGCATTAAATATATTTTGCCACTTTCTATAAATCAGCCTACAGCAAATTTACATCTCATTGAACAAACTCACGTGTTTGGCTTATTTACAGTAACATAATATTATCATCAATGGGAATTATGTTAAGATTGTAGCAAAGATTTAGCTCATTTAAACATATTAATGACTGAATAATATACGACTGTATAATGTCTGATTATGAAATATGCAATTCCATATGAAATTCCAACAGAAAGAAATTCCAATAGAAAACACAGGTTGGTTTTTATGGTAATATAAATTTGGAGAAAAGACTCCACCCCCAAGGCTGGGGA